AGGAGGTCGCGATGAGGCAGCAGCCGAGGCGGCCGGCCCGGCCCGGGGCGACCAGCGGCAGCCCGCAGAGGTGGCTGACCCAACTCCGGTGGAAGCGCTTGCGGTGGAGGATGCGCAGCCCCCCCGGCCCCCCTTCCCCCCCCCGGGGCCCCTGCCCGTCGGGCCCGAAGTCGGCGAAGGCGAAGCCGCCCTCGGCGGCGGTCGGGCTGAGGGCGAAGACCCCCATCATGTCGTCCTCGCCGGAGCTGACGAGGCGGTCCGGGGCCCGGGGGCTGCCCGACGGCCCGGGGACCCAACACAGCGTGAGGATCTCCCCCACGGTGTTGTACTCGTAGACGCTGATGCGGGAGAGCACGTCGAGGCCGGGCAGGCGGACCAGGACGATGGTCCCGCTGTTGCAGGACAGCGCCGCGACGTGGGCGTCCTCGTCGAGGAACAGCAGGGCCTCGAGGCTGAGCAGGGACGCCCGCGGGCCGCGGGGATCGCGCCCGGGCCCCCGCGAGGCCGGCGCGGGGTCGAAATGGGCCCACAGCCGCGTGAAAAAGGCCGGGACCCGCGGCGCGATGGAGCGAATCGGGTGGAAGCCGAAGTAGTGGTTGTCGAAATGCCGCAGCAGCCACGCGCCCGAGGTGAGGACGCAGAGCAGCAGAATTTGTCCATTGTCAAACCCGGCGGCGAAGATCGTGGGATGGAGAGAGTGGTAGGTATTCACCACGGAGGAGGACAAGGAGTAGTCCTCCCCATACTCGTTTCCCTGCAGGGAGGTGGGGCCAAAATGCTTTGGGTCGCTCGAGGGGGCCGGATGACTCGCCTCGCCGAGTTGGGAATTGCTCCGGCGCGTTCGCTTTGCGATGCCGGCGCGGGTGACGATTTCGAACAGCTCCTTCTCGATCCCATTTTGCACCTCCTGCAGACAGGAGACCGGCGACGCGATCAGCTTCACGCCGGTTTTGAACGCCATGCTGGGATGAGTCTCCGATGTCCCCGCGTTGAAGTTCAGACGCTGCACAATTCGTTTTTCTAATATACTAAAAATAAAGATATCCCCATTTTGGTTGCCGAAGATCAGAAAGGGCTCAAGCACAAAGCTGAAGTTTGCGACCGAGATGGTCTTCGTCGTCGGGTTGGTGTCTAAAAAGTGGATATTGGTGTCGTGAGGATTGAAGAAAAGGTCCTGATCCTCCGACTTGGCGATATAGGTATCTTCGAAGACGATACGATCTCGGTTGGACGATGCAGGCCTACCGTTTTCATCATTTTTCTTCATAAACAACGGGTTTGACAGAAGCTTATGGGTTAGACCCTCGCCATCCCTTGAATCGGCCCCGAGGGCGGGACGGACTTCTTCGCAACCCAGCATAAAGAGCATCTGCGCGGTGATCTTCCGGGTGGCGATGCTGGCGGATAAGGTTTGGATGGGCGTGACGTCGAGAATTAGGCCGTCCTGATGAACCGTGAGGTAATGGCTGAGGTGGTTGAAGCTGTTGACGGACACGAGGGTGCGTTGGACAGGGGTGGTGCCCGTCGGCGATAAAGGAGGCGGCGGGTTGTTCATCGGCGAGGGTTCGATAGGGGACTTTTTCTCCATTTCCGGCGAATCCGCCTTGGTGGGCCGTTGGAACTCCCCCTTTAGGAGGATATCGTCCAGATTGGGGGCCGAGGTAATGGCGTGGATGCCATCGGGGTACTGTTGGAGGATCTGCCACAGCCCCTGCTCGGTGGATCCCGGCGGCCGCTGAGCGGGCTTCTGCGTGGAAAATGACCCCGCCACCGACAAAGCCTCGCTGTCATCGTGCTTTAAGGGGGACTGGGGTAATAATTCGTGCCGTTCCGGCTTAAAAAGCTTCGCTTCACATCGCCAGACAATTCGTAAGAGGGTCTCCATGGATGTGGGTTGTTTACTCGGACCCGCGGGCTTCCCCACGGTGGCGTAGTCCGGGGTGATCACGATGGTTTCCTCCGGCGGCAGATTGAGCGTGCTCACGGACGGGTTGCGAAGATCAACAAAGGAGCCGAAGACATCGCCTTGGGCTTTGCCGTTTGTGATGATGGAGGGATAGCCCGATGAGGTGTAGGCGCCGTTGATGGCGTTCACCAAAACTGCCTCCAGGTTGAACTCCAGCCTTGGACCCTCGGTGTCGTTAACTTTTTGCGATTGGTCGGGGGTGAAGGACTGCATACCGAGCTCCTGCTCAAGTTCCTCGGGGAGGACGTCAAAGGCCAATCGATCCTCGATGTCGAGGTCGTCGCCAAATTGATGGGAAAGTGCTACCCGGAAGCGGTCATGGTCAATGGGATCCCATCCCCGCGTGGAGTTACTTTTATTCATCCACTTTAGGCGGGGGTTGCGTAAATCTTCCCGTGACGATCGAGCCGCCTCCCCTTTTAGTCATAACGCACTGGAGGGGGTGCTGTCCGAGATCAAAGAGCTCGCCGAAACCTTGGAGCTGTGGCTGAGAACGAAGGGGTCGTAAATATGTTGGAGTCCTACATTGGGGGTGAACTTTAGATCGATGTTGTTCATTCTCTTGTGTGTGTGTTTATTGGATTACAATACCGTTCCCATAGATGGAATCCGTAGGAGATTGATATATTTTCCCTTTAAATAACAAAGGGAAAATACAAAACGACAATTCTTAAAAACTAATTCAGCTGTTCTCACACTACTTTTATTAGAGATGGTGTGAGATCGACGGAAAGGGATAAATAGCTCAATAATAAGATAGAATATCCAAGAGAGAGTAGTAAATAAGAAATATTTGTCAGTAGCACATTGGTGTTTAAGGTATCAAATATTTATCAGACGATGATCGAAGCATGATAAAATGTAATATATTTAAAGTCAAAGAGATAAAGGAACGTTTCCAGCAGATATAATATATATATATATCTATATATCTATATAGATATATAGAATTTTTTTTCTTTTTCGTGTTGAGATAATTTTCGCTTGCTGTACTTACACTTACTTTGTCACTTCTCTATCGGAAGTTCGCTGTTCGTTTTTCTTCCCCCATTGTATGCAGTTCAAATAGCTTATATAAATACGCATATGTAAGTAAATAACTAACCAAATAAAAATAACATAATAACATAATAACTAAATAAATATGAATTTATTTGTTTATTTTTATTTGAACATGCCATTCAAGTTAAATAACAAACTATAAGACGTTCTAATTTAAATGTTGCGTTTCGAGCGAACACAAAAACAGCTTCAATATATCACCTTCATTTTTTTTTTTGATTGCAGTGAAGGTAAAATTTGACAATTTCTGATGAGTAGGTTTCCCTGGTAAAACATTTTTTTTTTTAGTTCGCTGTTGGGAATAATAGATCAAAACAAATTGATTATATAAGGTTGTGCATACCTTTTAGATTTCGCTGAAATGTGTATCAAAAGTCAATAATTTATAAAATATACTCACCCCTCATCTTAAATTCTAAAAAAACATCAGAGTGATTTCCTTTGCTCAATATAACTCGATTTCCGTGTTGTGTTTATCGATGTTTGCACAAACACGTTCCAAAAACACAAGCGCATAAAATGATTACAATTGGTATTCCCTCCGTGCCGCCCGGAAGACGAAGGGGAAAATTCGAACCATTCTGAGATCCCCCTTCCCTTTCTTAGATGCCTTTATAGTAGGTATAGTTGAGGACCGGTGTACCGTTCTTGCGGAGCAGGTTGTGGAATTTTGGCTCGAGCTTGGTGGCCGGGATGGTCTGGGTTGGCTTAAAAAGCCCCAGGGCGAAGGGCACGCCGAGGGTGAGCCCCATCACCTGGAGCGAGGTCTCCGTCACGATCGGGCTCCGCCGGGCCCTGACGGAGAACCGCATGAGCGGCATCGACAGCAGCGTCGGGAGCATCAAGCACGGCATATTCCACACCACGCGGGCGATAGAGCACTTGAGGAGGCTCTCGCGGCCCGCCGTGATGCTCATGCCGCGCGGGGTGGCGTCCTCGTCCTTCATCTCGAGCCCGGTGCCCGTGCGGCGCCACTCGTTCTTGCGCATCACGGCGAGGTTGACGACCCCGGCGAAGACGACGGCGAGGAAGGGGATGGTCGCGCGGATGACCGTCCCCCGCACCGACGCCGGCGAGACGCGGCGCAGCAGCATCGTCGCCGTCAGGCTCCCCCCGCAGGCCACGGTGACGGCCGCCGTGTAGGCCTTGGCGATCTCCACTGTGGGCTGCCGATCGCTCGCGCGGTTGGCGTAGTTGATCGCGGCGTTCAGGCTCTGGTTCAGCCACTGAATGAAGACGGTCCGGCCGACGCTCAGCACCGTCGAGGGCAGCATCATGTAGGGCACCAGCAGGAAGTTCATCGGCAGGAAGCCGCACATGCGGAAGAAGGGGAAAATCGTCTCGCCGGAGGTGGGGTGCACGCACTGCTCGAGCGCGTTGCGGGATCGCCACAGCTCCGCGTCGCTGACGTGCTTCAGCTCCTTCTTCTCCCACTGGGCGAGCCGCGCGCGGTGGCCCTCCAGCGACTTCTTCGTCTCCAGCAGTAGGAGGGGGTTGATGGCCTCGGCGTAGTAGCACGTCCGCCCTTTCAGCGTGTCCATGTCATATTTCGTCTGCGTGAGGGAGAA